ATGGCTTGTTAGGTGAATCGTGAACCGGACATTCACCTGCATTGGCCTGGGCAACCTGGCAGTATTCCGCCTACATACAAAGGGAACGTTTTTCTTTTTAATAAAGATTGTTTTACTATGATTTAGCACACAGTCGGGCGTGTGTGCAAATACAAAATACAATTTGAGAAACTTAGAACACTGTTTTCCCGTCACAAATTTGAACAGAGAAGTCAGAACCATGGGTTTGCACAATGTATCCATGGTCATTTCCAGGGGGTCAATCACCAAGGCAAAGCTAATGTGACTAACCATTCGCGCTGTTTGCATAGATCAGGTTTGAGAGTGTGAATGGCTAGGGCCTCGGCAAGTTTTATTAATTTTGTGTTTGCTGTGTTGTAGATGACATGGAATGCGTGGGGTGGGGTGACAGTGTTTTTGTTCGAGTAAATGTTGCGTTATCGGAGATCTAAGCTTTCTCCGATCAACCGATGACGGAACATTTGCAAAATTGTCGTCCATTGCTTTCTTAAGCCACACCGGGATGTGTTCGGCCATTCGGTGACGTAACTGCCTCTCTGTCCTACCTATGTAGACGATGTAGGCGATGACGTGAGTGAACTCGTTAGCAAGCGGTTGAACTCTGCTGTCAAGCGAGTCTATTACGCAGTTGACCCGGCCATTGTCTTCACTACCACCCGGATACCAACGACATCGGTGAAAGAACCATTGCCTCCCTCCGCCAAATCAAATTGTATTTACCAATTCAAGTGTGGATGCTCAGCCGTCCAATGGAGAAATGTATTCTGCCAGTATATTTCACAAAATCAACGGGAATTCATAAGTTGTAATTATTATGTATTCCCCTGAACGTGATACATACGCCTTGTGTCCAAAGTGACTCCCTTATAAAAACGTGCACTGTCACATCAACAATCTCTAGCTGCTCCATGCCGATTCAGTTCGAAATACTTGAGTAACGTGAAAATAATCTTACCACATCCTCTAATCAGGCCTGGCCTTCGCGTGATATTCATATAAATCAGGTATTTTGAACTAGATCAATGTCGAAAAAATGGAGATTGTTGGGATAACACTGCACTTAAATGGAAGAAGAGAGACTTCTATTGATCTGTGCACGGGGCTTTTGGGAAATGTCAAAATATAACAATTATTCCAAACCTGTTCTCTTCAACAGAGCTTCCGTATTGTCAGGCAGAAAAGATTCCCCTAACTTATGAATGCCCTCTTCAGTTTATGGAAATAAGATGCACCGGCTAATCATCACGGTAAATTCTATTAGCCCCTCTTCTATCTGCTTCGCCGTTAACAACAGTAATTACCTATTTTATTCTTGTGCTATATTGACATCGTGGTAAGCATAATCGCACCGGCTTAACACAATTCTATTCAGGTGAAGACAACTATTTTATCATGGCATCCCGAACCTCTGTGAGTGCAATTAATCGTATCATTGCATTTGTCGCTGGTGACAAAACATTCAACCGTGTGTTCCAAACTATCGAAGCCGTCTCCGCCACAGAGAAATGTCTTACTTGTCGATTTCTTGTATCACAAGCCGAAGTCAATTCATTGCGCACACTGCATGGTGGCTACATCACTGGTGCTGTTGACTTTGTTTCTACCATCGATCTCATTCGCCTTGGGCACCGGAAGCACGTCAGTGTTCATTTGGGTGTTGAGTGAGTCTGCTCACTTCACATTAATTCTTATTCATTCCAGCTTCATGAGACCGGGAAAATATGAATCGTGGATCAGAGTTGATTCATATGTTCAGAGTAAGGGGCAACGTTTGGCATTCTGTGATGTGCTGTTCTACGATGAGGCAACTGGAAAGCTGCTTGCCAAAGGAACGCATACAAAATTCCTGATACCTGAGGATCAGAAGATCTGATAGCTTTAACTATCTAGATGTATAGCATTTACACNTTGTTAATTTCCATTTGTACCAGATTTCTAGTACTGTGATCACTTCTCCTGTGGATAAAGCGTTAATCTTTATTGTCAATCTAGGTCCAGATCAGTTTCTTTTTGATATCATTATGTAAATACAGGCAATCTAGGTGTAAATGTGGTCAGGCCAATGTAGTTTATTCATCAGTCATTAGCTGTGGTTATCCAAGAAAAAGGCCAGCCTCTTTATATCCGCTGGCGGCAAATGTTTTTGTAACAATGTTGCAGTCACGAATCTCATAGGTATAGTAGTAGTAATATATTTCACACTTGTCTGAGGTCAGACTGTGTACCAGGCAAATCATGGTATAATGATCTTTATAAAAAAGACAAAACTTTCCATGATTGGTTTGTGGGCTGAATACTGCCAGGTTGCCTAGGCCAAGGCAAGTGAATTTTCTTAGGGAATCCACAACCGGAGCCTTCGGCTAGCCAAAGCCTGATCCGCAAGACGGCGGGGCGGTGTGTAAAAAGCGCAGTCCATTGGAAGGCGGTGTTCAGTTCATCGGATCATTCGCCCTTCGGACGGGGCCAAACGTGCAAGCTGCCCAATCGAGCCGGTGACCACTGCCACAACCGAAAAGGTGTGGATGTGGTTCGTACGCCTCCTCATGATTGGTTTGGAATCAGGGTTTTTAACCAAGTCACATAGGCGAACTACCAATGGTCCACCAACCCGGATGTCGGCTTTTCGTCTTCTCA